CCACAATGCCTGGCCATTTTTTGGTTGCAGCCATCTTTGCTGTTTGGTGGGCCCGGGCTGGGGATTCGAACCCGTCACCTCAGGTGTATGTGGCTGGCGCCTCAGCCGCTTGAGCCACAGGTGCCGAGCCTCAGCTCCACCTTTGATGGGGATTGGAAGCGTCTCTACCACAATCTTGTCTTTTCCCAGGAGAAGCTGAAATATATGTACTGCCACCATTTCATTTCCTGTAGAACTTTGCAGTTAAACAGATCTAAGTTCATATAAAGGCTTCAGCAGTTACTAGCTGTGTGACCATAGTTAAGTAACTTAACTTCTCTGTTCCTCATTGTCCTGTCAAAGGGGAATAAAAATGTACTTGCCCGTGCCGGGCATGGTGGGTCATGGCTATAATCCTAGCACTTTGGGAGGCTGAGGTAGCTGGATCACCTGAGCTCAGGAGTTTGAGACCAGACTGAGAAAGAGCAAGAATCTATCTTTAAAAACCAGCCAGGTGTTGTGGTGGGTGCCTGTAGTCCCAGCTACTCTGGAGACTGAGACAAGACGATCACATGACCCCAAGAGTTTGAGGTTGCTATGAGCTATGATGTCACAACACTCTATCCAGAGTGACAAAGTGAGGCTCTGAAAAAAAAATGTATCTGCCTCATAAAATTGTTGTTGTAAGGATTAAATGAGATCATTCCCACAAAGTTCCTAGTAGAGGGCCTGAAACACAGTGCATGCTCAGTAAATGATAGTCAATATTATTTATTCATTCAATCAAACATTTTCTCTTAAGTACCTGCTAAGCCCTAGGCACTGTTCTAGCTGGTGAGTGAATAGTGAAGACAAGATAGGTTCCGGTTTTCCTACAGTTTATCTCCTAGTGGAGGAGATAGGTAATAAGCAAATGAACAATAACTTAACAAGAAAGTTTTGGTTCACTGCCATCAATTTCATAAAGGAAATTAGCAGAGCTACTTTAGATAATGTGGTCCTGGAGAAACTCTCTGAGGTGGTGGCTTTTGAGTTGAACCCAAAGGATGAGGAAAGCCAGCTATGCAAAGACCTTGAGAAAGGAGATTCGAGTCAGAAAACTAGGCAGAGTTTTTCTGATAGGATATGAGAGGCCCAGTGACACCCACAGCTTCCTTTTTGCTCAACATTTGTATTTATTCTACCCCTTTTAGACTTTTTATTCTCATTTAAACAGGATGCTGGTTCTACAAATCTTAGTGTTCCAGCCTGGGTGTTTGTATCTCTTCCAGATTCATATACTGAAGCCCTGACCTTTCATGTGGTTATATTTGGCCATAAGGATGGGACCCTGATCCAATAGGTTTAGTGTCCTTGTAAGAAGAAACACCAGAGAACTGGTTTTCCCACTGTCCTCCCTGGCTTGAAATGAAGGAAAAGCCATGTGAGGAAGCAGCGAGAAGGCAGCTGTCTCTGCAAGTGAGGGAAAAAGCCCTCACCAGAAACCAAATCAGCCAGCACCCTGACCTCAGGCTTCCAGTCTCTGGAATCTTGAGAAAATAAATCCCTGTTGTTTAAGCCACCTAGCTGATAGTATTTTTGTTATGGCATCCTGAGCTGACTGAGACACCTAGATAAATGTGTTCTCCTACCCTAAATGAAACTGTTACCAGCAAAATAAACTTACAGGAGTCTTGTGAAGGAGGCAAACCCCGGGGTGGCAGAGGGGGTAAATGAACTGGCGAATGATTGTGAACATTCCTAGAGAGAGAGAAAGAGGGAGTCAGTTTAATTTGGACCATGCCTTTTGTCAGCAGGCTTAAAAGAAAATGCTAAGGAAAGTATGGGTTGAAATCTTGGTCCATGCACATTGGGAAAAATTTCCTTTCCTTTCTAGGTCCTCCATCCTGTTTGTAACTGGCACACTAAAGAGACTGTTTCCTCTAATCTAGGGAAGGACTGAGGTTGAATGAAGGGAGTTGAAGTGTTACAATCCAGAGCATGGATCGCACCTTCCTGTGTTCACCTGAGCAGGATCAGGAGATGGAGGTAGGTACCAGCTGTACTTCTATTTGCAAAACAGATGCACTCCTCAAGCTTCATACTCACATACCCCAAGACAGCAATCCCTCTACTGGGTCTGTACCCTGCTGAAATGCTTGAATATGTTCACCAAAACACACGTACTAGAATAGCAATCCCCTACCTTTTTAGCACCAGGGACCAGTTTTATGGAAGAAATCAATCTTTCCAGAAACTGGGGTAGGAGGATTAGATCCTCATAAGGAGCACACAACCTAGATTGCTCACATGCACAGTTTATGGTGGGCTTTGTGCTCCTAGGAGAATCTAATGTTGCTGCTGACATAGGAGGAGGCGGAGCTCTGGCTGTGATGTGAGCAATGGGGGTGGCTGTAAACACAGATGAAGCTTCACTCACTTGTCCACCACTTGCCTCCTGCTGCACAGCTCAGTTCCTAACAGGCCTGGACCCAAGAACCAGCATTTGTCCTCAGTCTGGGGGTTGAGGACCGCAGTACTAGAATGTTCTTAGCCATACTATTCCTAACAATCCCGAACTGGACACTACTTGTGTTAGTCTGAGTTCTCCAGACAGACAGAGACACATAAAAAATTAACCATCCTACTACCGAAATGCCCAGCAGCAGCAGAATGGGAATTAATTATGGTATACTCCCACAGTGGAATTCTCTATACAAGAGCAGCAAGGATAAACAATTTACAACGATGCACAATGAATCTTATAAAAATAATATGAAGCAAAATAAGCCAAACACCAAATAGTACACACTGTATGGTTTCAGTCATATAAAGCATAAAGACAAAAAAAAAAAAACCTAACTTATACTACTACATATAGTGGTTACCTTAGGGGTATCATGGCTGAAAGGCAGTCTAAGGTAAGCGTCTGAAGTGTTGTTCATATCCTGTTTCTTTTCTTTCTTTCTTTTTCTTTTCTTTTTTGAAACAGAGTCTCACTATGTCACCCTTGGTAGAGTGCTGTGATGTCACAGCTCACAGTAACCTCTAACTCTTGGGCTTAAGTGATTCTCTTGCCTCAGACTACCAAGTAGCTGGGACTATAGGCACCCACCACAACACCTGGCTATTTTTTGTTGCTTTTGTTGTTGTACTTGTCATTGTTGTTTGGCAGGACCAGGCTGGGTTCAAATCCACTGGCTCTGGTGTATGTGGCTGGTGCTCTAGCCGCGAAGCTACAGGTGCTGAGTCATCATATCCTGTTTCTTAATTTTGGTGCTGAGGCCGGGCATGGTGGTTTGCACCTGTAATCCCAGCACTCTGGGAGGCTGAGGCAGGTGGATTGCCTGAGCTCAGGAGTTCAAGATCAGCCTGGGCAAGAGTGAGACCCTGTCTTTACTGAAAATAGAAAAAGTAACTAGGCATTGTGGTGGGTGCCTACAGTTCCAGCTACTGGAGAGGATTTCTTGAGCCTAAGAGTTTGAAGTTGCTGTCAGCTATGACACCATGGCACTCTACCCAGGGCACCTGAGTGAGACTCTGTCTGGAAAAAAAAAAAGATCTGGGTGCCAGCTATCTCAGACTGTTTTGCCTGTGGAAATTCATCAGGTTGTGCACTTACTTTGTACTTATCTGTATTCATCTACTCCAGTAAGAAGTTTTACAAAAAGAAACTCCAAGAAAGCTGCCCTTACTTAGACCTCCATTCCTCCAGGTGCACTGACTTGATTCTTATAGGTGAGGAGGTCCCCCCGAGAATGCATCAATATCTTTAGTTACGGGGGTGAGTGCAGAAGGGGTCAGTGGCGCTCGCCACCTCTCTGTAGCTCTTCCTAGGAGAAGCAGCAATTCAGCTGACTGCTAAATTTGGCAAAAATCCAGCTCCTTTCACTTTCTCCTCCAGAGTGGCCTGACTGCAGAAATCACAAACCCTTCTCCGGTCTTTGGCATTTAGAGGAAGTGGGCTGCCCTGTTGAGGAGACTTGAGGTTTTCCAGAGCTGCATGTGAACTGGGCAGATTTTTCTGCCCAGTTCAGAATTAGGGAATTCACTTGCCCTCAGAGAAAAGCCACATTCTGCAATGCCAGTTTTATTCTTTTTTTGTTCATTTGTTTGTTTTGAGACAGAATCTCACTGTGTCACTCTGGGTAGAGTGCCATGGCATCATAGCTTACAGCAACCTCAAGCTCTCAGCCTCAAGTGATCCCCTTGCATCAGCCTCCCAAGTAACTGGGACTACAGGTGCCCACCATAACACCTGACTAGCTTTTCTATTTTTAGTAGAGATGGGATCTCACTCTTGCTCAGGCTGGTCTCAAACTCCTGAGCTCAGGCAACTGTTGGGCATTCCAGACTGCTAGGATTAGAGGCATGAGCCACCATGCCCTGCAAGTTTTTATCCTTAATGAAGGCATTATTTTTGTTACCTGGCTGCCTTATGCATTTGTCGTACTCTCCCAGGGGATCAGAATTGGTGGGGAGATCTTATTTGCTGGGTCCCTGAAGCTACAACAAAAGCCACTTTAGAAAGGCATTGTTTTATTCAATGAAATTACTTGCTTTTTGTCGATGTTGTGTTTCTGCAGAGAGCAGTCTGTATTTCATAGTTCCATGAAAGTTAGTGCAATCAGTGTTCCTTTAAACTATACAAGAAAAATCACCCATTTAAGGGTAAAAAAAAAAAAAAAAAAGAAAGAAAAGTGCAGTTTTGTTTATGGTGGTGCGTGAATTTCAAAGAAAGGACTGCCTCTTATCTGACTCCTGGGAGACAGTCTCTAAACTCATTCTTTCTTGATAAAAGTATCTTTCTGGGCGGCGCCTGTGACTTAAAGGAGTAGGACACTGGCCCCATATACTGGAGGTGGCCAGTTCAAACCTGGCCCCGGCCAAAAACTGCAAAAATAAATAAATAAATAAATTTATTTAAAAAAAAAAAAGTGTCTTTCTATGCCTGGGGCTTCAGGCCACACCAGACAGTTTATGCTGCTAATGTGATTTATAGGGAATTTCTGGAGCCCTGAACCCTGCAGTCTCGATCTGATATCCTTAGGGGGTCTAGAGACTGAGAAGCTTAAAAGTGCAGGTGTTCCCTGCCTACATGACTAACCCCCAATAAAATGAAATCCCTGGACACCAAGTCTCTGTGAGCTTCTCTGGTTGGCAATACTTCACATATGTTGTCACTCATCACGGCTGGGAGAATTAAGACTATCTGTGAGACTCCCTGGGCAAAGCCACTTTAGAAAGGCATTGTTTTAAAACCTTGTGCCTGGTTTTTCTAGACTCCACCCTGTGCATCTTTTTCCTTTGTGATTATTTTGTTTTGTTTTATTTTACTTTACTTTATTTTTTTTAAATTTATTTTATTTTATTTTGAGACAGAGTCTCACTTTGTCACCCTGGGTAGAGTGCTGTTGTGTCATAGCACACAACAACCTCAAACTCCTGGGCTCAAGCGATCCTCTTGCCTCAGCTGTCAGAGTAGCTAGGGCTACAAGTGCCTGCCCCAACAGGCACCCAGTTATTTTTTTAGAGATGGAGTCTTAGGCTGGTGTAGAACTCGTGACCTCAAGCAATCCTCTCACCTCAGCCTCCCAGAGTCCTAGGATTACAGGAGTGAGGCACCGGGTCCAGCTCTTCTTTGCTGATTTTATGTTTCTTTTTTTTTTTCTTTGTCTTTTGCTGATTTTAATCTATGTATTTTTACTATAATAAACTACAACTATGAGTATAATAGCTTTTCTGGTCCTGTTTGTCCTTCCAGTGAATTCTTGAGCCTAAGAGTGGGGGATCCCCAGCACAGATATTAACCATAAAGCCCCAAATTATGTTACAAAGGAAAGTGTTTGGCATGTTTTTGTTTGGCATGTTTTTTTCCACATGAAAGCTTTCAGAAGACTATACTTGGTACCCATCTAAAGAAGAGATGGATGGGCTGGGTGGTAGGCTCAGAACATAGACTCCAACCTGTGACCTTTGTCAGGACAGACAGACAAGGGATGACTTGGAGAGCAGAGAGTGCCAGATGGTGCCCTGCACCCATGATGTCCAACGTCTCTGCCTTTATAGGGGCAGAGTTGATAGCCAGGACATTTTGCTAGCTCTATAGGAAAGTGAGGAGCTCAGTCACCCAAGTACAGTTAGTAGAGGCCAAGAGGGGAAGTGAACAGGCAGTTTTCAAAGGTAAAAAGCAGAAGGATTTCCCCTCACTTACTCATACATCTTTTCTTCATTTGTTTTGTTTTGTTTCAAGGGCTTGGCAATTTTCCATTTCTTGCCTAAAGGGGAAAAAAAGCATATTCTCTTAGAAAAGAATTAGCAAAAGTCATGATTTTGGAGTTTAGGAGTCCTTGGAGAAAAGGTGAGTCCAGGACATTTGAAAGAGGAACCACCCAGAGGAAACAGACTTAGGAACATAGAGAGCCAGTCAGTTATAGAGCCAGATTTTGAATCTAGACCTCCTGAGCTCAGATCCTGTGCACTAACCCGGGGAAGGCAGCGATTATAGGGCCATGTTTATTTATTTATTTATATTTTTGAGACAGAGCCTCAAGCTGTCCCCCTGGGTAGAGTGCTGTGGCATCTCAACTCACAGCAACCTCCAACTCCTGGGCTCAAGCGTGTTTCCTGCCTCAGCCTCCCAAGTAGCTGGGACCACAGGC